TCGTCAGAAAGTTTATCGAGGAGTTGATTTCACTTGTCTCTGACGCTATGTAGCTCTGTGCTGATAGTGCAAGACTCACTGATGATGCCAACTACGATGTCGGCTAAACGTCTGAGAATGTACCAAGTCCACGGTGTGATGCTTGGAATTATGACAACTACTATGGCACATGTCTTCGGACAAGGTACGTTCAACTAAGTTGCCCTGACAACAATACCAAGTTGCGAAAACGAAGACAACTTACTTTTACTTATTCATATTTGCATAGGAAACAACCAAAAAAAACGATTCATCTTACTTGATTATTCACAGCCTGGACATAACTGTTTAAGAGATCCGCCAACAAATGATCGGGACCGCCAAGATCTGCCTCCTTTGTAATCAGCTTTCTGCAAGCGAGTTCGTTCGTAATAAGGTCTACTTCGGTTTCCGCCATTTTATCTCGTTTTTCGGTTGTCAACGAATTATCGTGTAGTTTCTTTTTCCTTATATCTTTCTTTTCTTTCCGTTTAGTTTTGCTTTTCTCCTTTTTCTCTGTCTTTACTTTCTGCTTTTTGGTAAGTATCAATTTATGATCTAATTCCTTCCTATCGTCCCTTTCGTCCTCTTCTTTAAGCTTAGCTGGCACGTCACCATTATCCCCTTTAAAAGATTGAGATGAATGAGAGTAATGTTTGCCTTTAGAGGCAGCGCCGGGCCTTTTTTGAAGTTTAAAGAGGGCATGACGATTGACGACAGACTTAAGAAGAGCCGGAGGTAATGAGTTAGGAGTAGACTCATCTCCTTGAAGCAGCAAATCGAAGGAGCGAATAGGATGTGAAGAGTCGTGCTCTATGGTGGCAGTCTCTATCAAGTCGGCTACATCGGCATCCGAAGTGGCTATGGCTAGATTGTGAGGTATTGGATCTAAAGAATGAAAGAAAGCAAGGCTAGTAATAAAGAATATTATAGAATTTATTTAAAATGCCATCAGAAGATCAAGCTAAATGAGCAAAAACCCAATATGGATTGATGATAAAGCAAACATTTATCTGTCATTATAATTGACAAGGTTTCTTAAATTCAGTGGGAGTATATTTCAAAGATGTTAATAATTCTGGAATAAAAGCCTAGTCAACCTAGATCACTTAAGGAATCACTGTGGAACTTATCCAAATTAAATAAGTAGGCCACACGATGCCACTGTCGGTTCTTAAATCACGCTAAGTAACGTAGTATGATTAAGTCATTATTGAAGACTTACTAACAATCTAGATAGTTAAGCAATTAATTGTAATGTCATAAGTATATTTGCCTCATCATAATTTCCAAAATAGAATGTGATTTGGGAGAGGCATGGCCTGCCTGTGAATTCGCATCAGCATTCGACCAACTGGCAATCGAGACTATGTTGCGAAGTGATAACATGTCTCCATGATAAACACGAGCCGGTCTCAATTCCAGTTTCAAATTAGTCGAGGGTGAAATTACAACCAATTCTGGACAGGGGAACCTTTTAGGAGACAAGGCCAAAATAAATCCAATAATAATATAGGTCTTGGGCAAAGAATTGCGGGTAAAATTTCACAGAGTCGTTAAATCACCCTAGGAAAGAA